GACCCTCATTGTGAAAGTCCCAACAGCTAAGTGTAAAATGGCAAGTACACATAGTGTCTACGTGACAGAAAAGCTGGGTGGTCAGTGCAACTTTGTCATAGATTCTGCATCTCAGCAAACCCTGGTGTGACAGGACATTACACAAGGTTGTGGGGACCAGTGTGGGTAACTATTGAGCTCATGGGCATAAAGGACAGACACAAAGTATACTTGGCTGACATTGAAGACCCATGCATATTAGGATTAGACTACTTACTACCAAGAAAGTGTGTAGTTAACTTTGATAAAATGACGTTTAGGAACAACAACAAACAAACAAACAAAAATCGCTATTCGAAATTTAGAGACGTGAGAGCGTTATGTGGGTGACGGTCATAGTAGGCAAGGAGTTGGCGGTGGTTCCTATTGGCTAGCTGCTTCTCATAGATCAATTTCAAAACAAACACAATGATAGAATAGGATGTATCAAATCTATGAAAAGTAAAATCGTTATAAAATAAGGCAGCAAACAAAACCTCTAGTAACATTACACTTTTATTTATTTTTAAGCGTCATCATATGTAAGCATGAATTTGAATTGCCAAACATATGTTTTCAAAACTAAGTTTGTTGATTAGGGCATTTCAATTTTAATTTTTTGTTCGCGCATGGTAATGTCGACGCGTTGGAAAGTAACACGTATCGCAAACAAGAACTGATTAACGAGTAAGATTTTGATGAAACACAAAACAGTTGTAAGTTTTGACAGAAGTACGCAAGTTTGTTAAGGACTACACAATATTAAAGTGTTCGTGAAGCATTATAGCCAAAGGTTGAGACTGAATTAATTTTTCAAACGTTATTTCAGGTGAGCTGTATGAAACTCGTATGTTTACTAGTAATACCACATAAACCTTGATACAGTTAACTTATGCTTATTCATTGTTCATTGATTTTATTATTATGGATTGAATTTGAAAACCTTTAGGCCTAGGATTTAGACTACAGACACAGTTACTTTTTAAGTTTCTAAAATTTGAATAAGTTGCTTAATGCCAATAGTGGTATCATTGAGTACTAGTATTAGTTCACCTTTCTACAATTTACAAGCAGTCTACACTAATAATGATATTGATAATGGTAAGGCATTGTGTACTTTTACATTGAAAAGGATGTGTATCATATTCATAGAACTTTCCTTGCACGTTGAAGCATTATACAGTTTTCAGAAATAACATTTTCGCTGTAACAGTGAGTATTAAACGAGAAATAACAAAATGTTCAAAAAATAAAACTTTTAATTAAAAGGGTTAAAGCCACAGTTGCAAGCCTACGGAAATGATTAAATAATTAAGAAGTTGTTTAAAAATCGCTGTTCTTTAGTACTCACTGTAAGACATTTCAAAACATATCTTGTAATGTCTTAAATGAGTAATAACAGTTCTCACCCTTGTTTCTGTGGCTGTAAAAGCTTTGAAAGATGAGCTGGAACTAAAAGTTAGTTGAACTTTTGACATTCGATATTCATGGTATAGAAAGTAAAAAGGTCAAGGAAATGATGCATGCAACACGTAAAGAAACATTTCTCTTCACTTAAAAAGTCTTTGTGTTGTTCCCAATTTGAGATTATTATGTAAGCTAGTATTTTAAATGGTACACGACAATTCCAAATAAATCCTCAAAAACAAAAAAAAGCAAATGCATTTAAGCCATCTTATCAACAGTTTCATAATATCCAACATAATATAATCTAGTTATGCAAACTTTCACCAGATTTTTCAGGGGTCTTCTCATACTTTTGTACAATCAGTTAAATCACCATGTAAAATAAAAAAATGTTTACCCCCTAAAAAAAATGCATTTGGGCCAAAAAAAAAACTATTTTGTTCTAAAGGATATTTTAATCTATTTACTACTACTTTTTTTTACAAAATATTTTAGCCATTATCAATATCCAGTACTTCACACACATCCAGACTGGAAAACAATCCTAAACAGCAGTGTGGATGTATAGTGTCCACAAGTCATTGCATTTATTAAATTTCTTTTTGTGTTTTTGAAATAACAGAAATCAAGATATTTTAATTTTTAGAGTCATTGATATATGACAAAGCATTTATTGTCTACATAGTTACTAGCACAAATAATTTTATATTTTGTATGTTGTTTATAACCTTAACAATATTACTGAAGAAAAAGATCTTGGTATTCTAGTGGACCAGCCTCTTAAGTTATCCAAGCAGTGTGCTGTTATTAGTGGCATGGCAGATAGGATTTTAGTTGTATATACAAAAATATTGAAAGAAGTCTAAAGAGGTTATAATTTCATTGTATAAGTCACTGGTTAGACCAAATTTAGAATATTGTCTTCAGTCTTGTGCTCCTTACTTTAGGAAGGACATTGAATTGTTGGAAAGGGTTCAGAGAAGAGCTACTAGGATGAAACCTAGGATGGAAAGATTGTCATATGAGGACAGGTTAAGATTGCTGAATTTTTTTTCTCTTGAAAAGAGAAGGGGATCTGATTGAGATGTTTCAGATTGGTAGTGTTGATGCATCATATTTTTTTTTCGTATTTAATGATGACTATGATAAGTACTAATAGGAGTGTTCTTATATATTCCCAATATCAAGTAAATCACTATAATGATGACAGAAAACTGTACCAAAAAAAAAAATCTTTAAGTAAAAGAAACAGTGAGCTTGAGCCTGTTAAATCAAAATATTATAATATCAAGCACATCATAAGAAAATTCTCAACAAACATATTTAATAGGGATCTTTGTCTAATTTTCCGATATTAGGTTGATTGGTACATATAATTATGGAAAACAGTACCCAACAGATCTTTAGTGAACAGAAGATGTATTCTAGCCACCTATACAAAAACTTCATATTATGCAGCATGTAATCTATATCTTTGCAAATTTTCACTGAATTTAATAGTGATATTTTATTTTCCATTCATTAAGTAAATCAGTATATATACCAGTAGAAAGCTACCCAGGAATATGTAAATGCCTTTAAGCCAACTGAACAACACACTCATGATGTCACACATATTGTAGTGGATATGCAAATTTTCACCACATTTTATAGGGATCTTCTCTTAATATTTAGGTAAATAATAGGTAAATGTTATAAAAAATTTGCGAACATAGTTGCTTAATCAAAACTTAAGAAGGAGGGAAGAACATTCTCAAAGAGTTTTTCTTATTGCACAAAACTAGAAAATGTTACAAGAGATAACTGAAATAACATGTATAACAAAATTTAAGGAAAACGTGGTGCAATCTCAATTTGGCTGACATTTTGAAGATGTTCATGAATTGGTACATAAGGAATTCTCATGCAAAGAACAATGAAAAAAAAGGATTTCTATCTTCTGATGTTAGTAAATACTTACTGTTCTAAGTGACACCCATAATCTCACTTTGGATGGGATTACTGTTTGATCTACAGACCTGTTACAGAAAACGAGGATTGACAACTTATGTCACTTGCTAGAGACAGCAACACAGTAGTTGAAAACTGGTTTAGAAGATTTAAAAGTATATAGGCAGCAAAGAAAAACAAAACTATTTCCTGGTGAATTGTATGTGTTTTGGCAAGTAATACTTTTTTAAGGATAAAAGCCTAGTTTTAATGTCATGATAAATATGAAAGGAAACAAACAAACGAAAAAAAAATACAGATAGTTAAATGTGGTTGAAGTGTAACAAAAAAAAACTACAATGTATCATTCAGATACTGTGAAATTTATCAAACCAAGCACAGACTTAAATAAGTCAGTTTTATCATGTAATTCAAAACTAATTAGTGTAACATGATTTTGCACAAAAAAAAGTGAAAACCACTAAATTATGCAGACCTAAAAATAGAAGTCAACTCAAGCACAAGCTCATCAATAGGTAGTTTGAAATGATGTAATATTATACGTGGTAAAAAATTAAAAAGGTAAAAGAGAGCCAAACAATTCATTAAATTCTCTCTTCTTAGCAGCCAAATTGAAAATTACTGTAAAAGAAATACCTTTCTTACACTGATTATCCTTGGGTAGATCCTAAATGTGGGCCAGATTGAAAATTTTATTAACAAGTATGTGTTAACCCTATCAACACAGGTCATGGGTCAAATACCATGTCATCGCATTTGTTGACTTGCATTCAAAATTTTATTTAATGACTATTTTATGAATTTTTATCTATAAGTTTGATATTAAATTGTAGATTATAATCCAAATTTTAATATTATACATTAGTTAATGTATAACTTTAAAAGTAAAAAAAAAAAGCTTGAATATCAATTTTTGTGTGCCATGTGGTATATTGAATGTGGCTTTAGTTCAAATTAGATGTTTGTGATGTCCAAATACAAAGTCTATAGTTTTGTATGAATTAGGAACTCAAATTACAGATATTGACAAGCTAGAATATAAAATAAGAAGATCCTAACTTTTCTGTTTGCTGAAATATTGTTATGTTTACTGAATCAAACATATGAAGTTGGTCAATTTGAATGACCTCGTAACCACCACAAAAAATATGAAATAAATCTGAATTACCCGTTTTTCTTTCTAAAATGAATTGAAATTGTAAAAGAAAACTACATTTGTTTTTCCTAAATAACTTAAAGATCATAACAGTATTCCTCTGTTTATATTTAATTTTATTGCTCTTTGACCCATGTCTAATTAAATCCTGCCGCACAAGTGTAGCTCATGTTACAATATTGAATGATTTAATGCATGACTTGCTTGCGATCATCTGATTGAATAATTTTTATTATTAACTTGCCTAATTTAACCTTATCTAACCAAACAGGTTTATAATTTTTACATTTTAATTACTTTTATAATAAAAAATGAATATACATGATAAAACAAGTAAATCACTTACCTGTGACGTCTTCTTTTTTTGCTATTGATTGCCAATGAAATTTAAACCTATTTTTTTATAGTAATGGAATAGTACACTAAATAATACACCAAAAAACACAGAATAATAACACACACAAAGCAAACAGTGTCCTTTGAACTATCATAATTTGTCTGGCTTTCTAACTATGGTATAAGAACCTTTAAATCTTAATTTAACTTTGTCGATATGATCTCTGTGAGAGAAACTTTCAAACTGAAGATGAAGTAGGCAATACTTTATGCTGAAAACAACATGATAAAATATGTAATCTGATAGATTAAAGCTTTGACTTTCAATTGGTTATAAAGAGAGGATATGACAGTTGTGGTGGCAAGTCGGTGTGATCTTCTAGTTTGACTCCTTAGATAAATAAGATTGAAGACTGTGAAAATTATGCTTTGCCTTAGTAATATCTATATTATAATGAGTAATTTACATTGAATTGTTTACTTTTCAGAGGGATGGTAAATAAATTTAGAAAGAGAGAAGACCTAAAAACAAATGTCACAATTCTTATACTAGGGAGATTGAGGGTTTCTTTAAAGTATTTCCTTATAAAATTAAGATCTTAAAACTTGTATTAAAATTTGGTGTATTAACTATTTTTTTGATGTGAAGTTTATTCTTATACAATGATAATATAGTAGTTTAATTACATTTTGAATGTAACTCTAAAAAGTTGTGATGTGCACTTTGACTGACCCATAGTGAGGGGGTTAATGCTTCTGGTTATTACTATTTTTAATTATTTAAACAATTGAGAAATGAAAGTTATGATTAAATTGATTGTCTTGAAAATTATCAACTAATTGAAATTAGTGTTTCTCATTATTATTTTTTTAAAAATCAATCTAATAATGTTGTCAAACACAAAACTACAAAATAGGCTATCTGTATTCTGCCCAATTTTAACCTTATTGTTTTTTGTTTTTACTTCAAGTTTGTTTAG